AGGGTCACCAGAATTCTTAAAGACAGGCACAACAGATGCGGACTTCCAACAGGAAACAGTAGAAATTACAAGAGTCTGTGAGGCAGTAGCTGTAAAGTTTAGAGAGGACAGGAGCCAATTCAGGAGCACATTTCTTCAGGACAATCGCCGGTATCCTGTCTCTACCACTCCCCTTATGGGAGTCTGATTTAGTGATGATGTCCAATACTATTATTGGGGTTATGTGCATCTCACTCAGTAGAGCCTCAGTTCTAGAGAGAAAATCAAGTGTGGTTACACAAGATGAGGCTAGCGTTGAATTGGATGAAAATTTCCGAGCAAAGCATTCAGCCTTCTCAACTGAGGAGATCAGGACCTCAAATTAGTTGAATAAAGGGAGTATTGTTGGTTTGATGTTGTTCAGCACGCTTTTGCAGGGCCACCAATAATTTTTTGAACCAAAGTTAAAAGACACAATACGTTGTTTCATTCTTTCTGCAAAGACTAACTTTGCTTCATTGAGAACACGCTTGCACTCGTTACGGGCAGTGACAAACAGACGTCTGTTGCAATCAGACATGTCTCTATGGTACAGAAGTAGTGATTTTTGTGGCCAATAGCTGTTGAGCAAGCATCTGAGAACCAAGGGGATAAATACAATTTCACTTGCAGGGATGAAAGCCTCGATTCCAGCTTTTACCCAGGATGAGACCTCAGACGCACATTTTTGGACGGGGATTATAAAGACAGTATTCCAGGGGACATCACGAAGGAAATCTCGGAACGAGTCCCAATCTGCTCGTTGATAATAGAAAGATGTTCTGTTAGTAGGAGGTTCTTTATTGGGAGAGGAATAGAAGGTGACGTTGACCGACACAACGGCATGATCAGAGTTGCCAAGAGGGCAGAGCTGCATAGCACGACAAGACTCGGGAATGGAGGTGAAACAGACATGAGGAAAGGAAGCCTTCATGGTTACTGGAGAAACTCGTAAGAAAGTCAACCACTTGTGTGAGAGATTAAAAAGTATTTGTATGCCAGGAAGGTCAATTACAGAGCGTTTAGGCCATTTGATATGGTGAGCATTGACGTCACCAAACATATGTTTACAGATGGATGCAGAGAGATAGCCTTGTCTATATTATCGGAAATGCAATCGAGTACACCAGAGTCTTGCGGGGATAGAGACCGATAGAGAAAGAAGAGATGGCTTATAGATTGGAGGAGAGATAAACACATGTATGAATGGTCTAGAGATTCAAGAAAGAGTTTCCTAGCCAGTGGGAGATGGTCTCGTCCGTAAACTCCCAGGCCATGCCTGTGGGTAACAGAGTCCTTTCTAAGGAGAAGAAGGTAACCGGAAATCGAAAAGAAGGGGCTTGATGGATTAAGGTTGGTCTCACAAAGAGCTAGTATGGAGACTTCTCAACGATGAAGTTGGTCTGAATTCCATGGATGTTGGAAAAGGAAATGTTAAAGGGTTTAAGTGATTTTTTAAAAGCTGGTTTAGGTTTATTTCTTTGACTGTTTGTAGTCATGATGGGTAATGTTGCTAGTGAAAGGGCCTAAAGTAATAGTAGCTGAATGGTCATCGTATGTAACATGGGCAGTAAGGACCTGGCGCAACCTACAACATAATGTGGCCTTGGGGTTGCCCACCGGAGGCGCGAGCATGGACACCCATCCATGCGCGACATGGCAGTACAAGCACCCCGATATTATGCAACTGTTCATCAGAGCAGTCGTTCAAGACGCTACGCAAGAGTTAAGGCTCCTAACTACCAATCGGGAACAGCAACCAGAAAACTGTCAACCTGGTACACTCAGTATGAAGAGACGTTGCACATATCACAAGGGATTCACGATGGCGCTAAAGGAAAAGGAAAAGATCCAGGAACCTCTTCCTTAGCAAGAAACAAGGGATGAGTCTCTAGAGAAGTGTGTGTGTGTGTGTGTGTGTGGGGGGTAATGACCGGGCGATAGGCATTCCTAACTACTCCTATTACATCCACACACAGAAAAAAATTGTGCATATATAAAGTTTCAACTTATTTAAGTGCCATCATACACTTTGGCGGGAGGGAAAGGGTGAATTGCATTATATATATATATATATATGTATAAAGGTTGCTACCCAAATATACATTAATATATTTAAACATTTTTCATTAAATATGACAGACAAGGAAAATTTAATTGTTTTAGTTTGATGGGATTAAAATTTAAAAATTGTCCATATTGTTTATTGAGATTTGGACATTTCTTTACCCATTTAAAGCGGTTTTCTTTTAGACATCCAAGATGCAAAAAGACTAGGGAGCAGCGTTTATTCCGAGCTTCGCGTGTTGAGCGAGACTGGGCTTTGTATTAAAATTCAACACCCATTCTTACCCCATGTTTGATAGAGGTAATTGAAATTTAGAGAAAGTAAGCGTTGAGTTCGAAGGTTAAATTCTTTAACAGTTCCGTGTAGGCTGCAGGTTCGATTCCTGTCGAAAACACATGAGAGAAGGCCAGTTTATTAATAGCGTAAACAGAGCATTTACCCATTTGTATTTATAAAATGACGTATAAACGAAATAAAGGGTTCAGTTATTTACTTACGTTAAATTTTCTGAACCAAGAGAAATCATGGGAAATTTCTTAAAACAAATTTAACATCGCTAAACGGATGTTTCCTCTGTAGGTAAAATGATAAAGCATCTCATCGATGACGGTTCCGAAATATAGGCGATTCCCGTCTGAGGACAATATTTTATTTCTATATTCAGGCCGGCAAATGTTGTTAATGCTGTTTATTATAAATAGAGCATTTACCGACTATAAAATAACGTATAAACAGAAAATATATTATATATATATATATATATATATATATATATATATATATATATATATATATATATATATTTTCGATTTAAAGAGTTCTTTCGCCATATTTGTCATCCCTTTTTAAAGGGAAAAAAGAAAAATAACTGAAAATTACCTCAACATAGAAGACAGTCTATTTCAAAAGTCGTTCTGTATTATATATATATATATATATATATAACAGCCAAAAATAAAAATTACATCAGTCTATTTCAAGTCGTTTTGTAAAACGGCTATCATCATGTGTGTCTGTCTTGGAGCATTGTTTTCATTGTCAGTCCTCCTCTGGTAGGATGATAAATACATCGAGCTCTCTGTGGATCAGTTTTAATAACTAATATTACTAGGATGCACCCGGATTTTATACCAACGGATCAATTACCTGTACTATATATATATATATATATATATATATATATATATATATATATATATATATATATAGAGAGAGAGAGAGAGAGAGAAAGAGAGGAATAATACGTTCCAAACAAAGAGAATCTTGAATATCAGCATTTGGAAGAACTCAAATTTCACTACTGGCACTGATGATAAATTACTGTTGTCAGTTTTGAATTAACGAAGATCTGATTTTTCTTTTGATGCAACACAGCTGATATTTAAAGCTGGTTGATCAGATCAAGTGATTAAATATATATGGTGGATATATCATTATTGATTGATTCGATTGCTTCCTTCTATACGACTTATTAACTTTTTCAAATTATTTAAAACCAGAAAATATCATTAGATTTTTTTTGTATAAGAATAGCAAAGTGATACAAATCTTACTAATTAACCCATAGCTGGGAAAAGAGGTAGATTCATATCTTTCTTAAGAGTATTTGCGGGTAAGTGAATATAATTAACACAAAAGGAATTGTAACTCGGTTCTCTGATTAACAATTCCGAGCAATTATTGATTAAACCACCCGCACATCCAAACTTACAAAGGACCTGGTATTCCCAAGCGGTCACTGGCCAGGATCGACGTAATTTAACTTTGATGATCGTACGGGAGCCGGTGTTTCAACGAGATGTAGTCGTAAACCAGGACACATCATAAAATGTTTTAAGACTTATGAAAAGTATTAACCATTACTGAAACTTGAGATTAACGGTTCTATCAATTCTTCTCCAGGATTGCTAGAAAGCTATCGTCATATTTTCTTGTCAGCAGGGAGGATTATAATCCATGAGTGTCATGCGTTAGATTTTCTCTGAGCGCCCCATTTATGTGGCCTTATGCTAGACTTAGCAGCTATTTTGGAAGCCATAACCGGAGATGAAGGTATTCTTTTGTTAATAACATTTCTCTTTCGAAATCAAATTTAACGCTGGGGAAAATCGAAATTTTACAGCAGATATAATAGCCGTGTGTATATTACATAGGTAATTTAATGGAAATTTGAAGGAATTCTTTTATCGTAATGAAATATATGATTAAACAAGAAAATTCTTAGATTGGCAGATGCATAATACGAAAAAACTGAACAAGATCTCATTACAAGCTAAAGCGCTGAATGTGCATTTTCACATGCATGCCTTCATTTTATTTAAATATGTGTGTTAATATATCGACCACTGAATGCATCTTTGGAGCGTTTCTCCTCTCGGAACGAAATATTTAATATAGAATTAAAAAAAAAAGTTATATGCAAATTCGTAAATATATAATAAGAATATACGGTCTGCCTCATCGCTCATAAGGCCTATGGTAAGGTTTATCTAATGGAATTGTTTCACGGAGTGAGGCTATTGACGGCACATCTAACCTCTGTAGTAGTAGGAGGGGTTAGTATTTTCCTGTTTTTGGACGGCCACGTGTTCAAACGCTAATGAGTTCCATGTACTCGGTATTGGCAAGTCAGAATTTTAGATTGGTTACCAGCCTTACAATTTAACGTATAACTGGTAGGAGTTATAACTTACATAACTTGATATATTCATAACTTTCTCAAAGGTATTTGCACGGGTTCATTACATCTACTTTCGTAAATGTAATGAACCCGACTAGAATTCGAACTTGGTATGTGGATCATGGATTCACATTTGACCACCTGCAAATCCATAATAAGAATAAATATGTGTAATAATTCGTCGCCAGTGTATTTTTATGGGTATGTGTGTCTATATTAAATCAATACAGCGAGATGATTCAAAGGTTAATGATTTATTGGTCATTATCTATCTATCTATCTATCTATCTATCTATCTATCTATATCCATATATAAAATAAAGGTAATAAATCCAAGTGGATCCTAGTAATACAAAATATTAAATCTGATCCACAAAAAGGAATTAATGTTTATTATTACAGCGCAAATTATTAATAAGTAATAAAATCCCCCGCAAAAAAAAAAAAACATGGGGAATAGCCTATTTCGGCAGACGAAGTTATCGGTCTTCTGTCTTACCAAAAAAATTTATATATATATATATATATATATATATATATATATATATATATAATTATTTATTTAAAAATTATAACATAAATATGTTATAAAATCACTACAAAAATAGCCATTTTGTTTCAACACCTGTGGTGTCTTATCAAGTGATGATGTTGAATATATATTGTAGAATGTATGTTTAAGTCTCCGTTTTATATATATATTCGTGTGTTTGTATATGTGTTTTATATATGTATGTTTAAGATTATATATGTATATATATACATACATATATTTATGTATGTGTATATATATATGTATGTATGTATGTACTGTGTATATGTATGTATGTGTATGTATGTATATATATTTATATTTGGTTTGTTTACTTTTTTAAGTTGCTGTGCAGGTTGATATATTTATACTTGCTTCTGTATGTGTATATATGCATATGCGTATGCGTATGTGTATGTGTGTATATGTGTAGATATATATATATATGTGTATGTATGTATGTATGCGTGTATAAGTATATATGTGTGCATATGTTTGTCTATAGTTTGGCTTTTCTGTACTTCTGTTTGTAGTGATGAATGTGTGTACACTGTACATGTATATTTGTAGGTAGTTCTTATTTTCTTTCACCTAATGTACAATAAGGCATATATAGACATATATGATGAATATATATATTTATATATATTTGTGAGTTTGGAATTTTCGTTTTTTTACATATTAGATGATGTTATTTTTATACGTATATATCTGTTTTAATGTCCTTTCTTTCCCTGTTGTTTGTTTCTCTGTTCTATTAGACCTTTTTTATCTATGTATATTTTCCCGTATGAGTTATATTTTAATAAGGGGTTAGAATTCGTTTAATAACACTTTCAGTCTTGAATATTTCTTGGTTTTTGTATCGGACTGTCTAGGTCAATGTATGTGGGTGTATGTACGTGTCTTTTTCGGTGTCTATGTGTATAGTAACTTGCATGCACATTTCATTGTGTATGTATGTGTGTGTTTTGGGTGTTTTCTTTTTTTTTGTAAAGGGTCGTGGAGATGTTTCCTGTCTCGTCACTTTTTGTGTGTGTATATATCTAAATATGTCTGCGTGCTTATGTATTATAATCTGATTGTGTTTGTATTGTCTTTCGCAAGATGTCACAATCCGATGTCTACACTTCTATCCATGTTGTCATTAAGTTAAGGGCAGTCGATCTTAACGTTTATTCCAACGTAATTTCAATAGAAACAAAATAAATAGAATAACATACGTATTTTTTCTTTTTTCCTCAATAATTTTCAAATTTTATACTTAATACAGATGAAATTTACATTTTTGAAATGGGTAGTTTTTAATTTTAATTTCAAATTTTATCATACAATTTAATACTAATTAGTTAGAATGAATTCTCTTTTAGTATAACGCCAACTTTAAAGCATTTCATAGTTATTATAACCTTCGTTGTCACGTTTTTGAATTCTCGTATACTTGTGTTTTGATTAGTCATTCCAGCTCATGTGACAGCCTTTCCCCTTACGAGAGGTGGTTAATTAATTTGAATCTTTTAAAACCCTTTATTCTACAATCTACATTCAACATCATCATTTGATAAGACACCAGAGGTGTTGAAACGAAATGGCTATATTGTAGTGATTTTATAACATATTTATGTTATAATTTTTAAATAAATAATTATATATATATATATATATATATATATATATATATATATATATATATATAAATTTCTTACGGCTTACAGTAAAGTCAAAACGGTAGACATTGAGTCAGCTTACAGTAGAATCAAAACGTTAGACATTAAGCCGGCTTACAGAATAGTCAAAACAGTACACATTGGGCCGGCTTATAGTAGAGTCAAAACGTTACACATTGAGCCGGCTTACAGTAGAGTCAAAACGTTAGATATTCAGCCGTTTTACAGAAGAGTCAAAACGGTACACATTGGGCCGGCTTACAGTAGAGATAAAACGTTAGAAATTGAGCCTGCTTACAGTAGAGTCAAAACGTCAGACATCGAGCCGGCTTACAGTAAATCAAAACAGTAGACATTGAGTTGGCTTACAGAATAGTCAAAACAGTACACATTAGGCCGGCTTATAGTAGAGTCAAATCGGTAGACATTGAGCCTGCTTACAGTTGAGTCAAGAGGTTAGACATTGAACCAGCTTATAAAATAGTCACATTAAGCCGGCTTATAGTAGAATCAAAACGGTAGACATTGTTTCGTCTTACAAAAGAGTCAAAACGTTAAACATTGAGCTGGCTTACTGTAGAATCAAAACGTTAGATATTGAGCCGACTTACAGAATAGTCAAAACAGTACACACTGCGCTGGCTTATAGTAGAGTCAAAACGTTAGACATTGAGCCGGCTTACAGAAGAGTCAAAACGGTACATATTGGGACGGCTTACAGTAGAGTCAAAACATTAGACATTGAGCCGGCTTACAGTAGAATCAAAACGGTAGACATTGAGCCGGCTTACAGTAGAATCAAAACGTTAGACATTGAGCTGGCTTACAGAATATTCAAAACAGTACATATTGTGCTGGTTCATAGTAGAGTCAAAACGGTCGACATTGAGTCGTCTTACAGAAGAGTCAAAACGGTACACATTGGGCCGGCTTATAGTAGAGTCAAAACGGTAGACATTGACTCGTCTTACAGTATAGTTAAAACGTTACATATTGGGCCGGCTTACAGTTGAATCAAAACGTTAGACATTGAGCCGTCTTACAGTAGAGTCAAAACGTTAGACATTGAGTCTTCTTAAGGATGGGTCAAAACGTTACATATTGTGCCGGTTGACAGTAGAGTCAAAACATTAGTCATTGAGCCGGCGTACAGTAGAGTCAAATCGTTAGACATTGAGCCGGCTTACAGTAAAGTCAAAACGTTAGACATTGGGCCGGCTTACAGTAGAGTCAAAACGTTAGACACTGAGCCGTCTTACAGAATAGTCCAAACAGGACACATTGGGCCGGCTTATAGTAGAGTCAAAACGTTAGACATTGTGTCGTCTTACAGAAGAGTCAAAACGGTACATATTGTGCCGGCTTACAGTAGAGTCAAAACGTTATTGCATTGAGCCGGCTTACGGTAGAGTCAAATCGTTAGACAATGAGCCGGCTTACAGTAAATTCAAAACGGTAGGTATTGCGTCGGCTTACAGTAGAATCAAAACGTTAGACATTAAGCCGGCTTACAGAATAGTCAAAACAGTACATATTGGGCCGGCTTATAGTATAGTCAAAACGGTAGACATTGACTCGTCTTACAGAATAGTCAAAATGTTACATATTGGGTCTGCTTGAAGTAGAGTCAAAACGTTAGCCATTGAGACGGCTTACAGTAGAGTCAAAATGTTACTCATTGAGCCAGCTTACTGTAAAGTTAAACCGGTAGACATTGAGTCGGCTAACAGTAGAGTCGAAAGAGTACACATTGGGCCGGCTTATAGTAGAGTCAAAACGTTAGACATTTAGCCGGCTTACAGTAGAGATGAAACGTTAGACATTGAGCCGGCTTACAGAAGAGTCAAAACGGTAGACATTGAGTCGGCTTACAGAAGAGTCAAAATGGTAGACATTGAGTCGGCTTACAGAAGAGTCAAAACGTTAGACATTGATCCGGCTTACTTGAATGTCAAAACGGTACACATTGGGCCGCCTTATAGTGGAGTCAAAACGGTAGACATTGACTCGTCTTACAGAAGTGTTAAAACGGTACATATTGGGCCGGTTTACAGTAGAGTCAAAACATTAGACATTGAGCCGGATTACAGTAGAGACAAAACGTTAGACATTGAGCCGGCTTACTGAAGAGTCAAAACGGTAGACATGAGTCAGCTTACCGAAGAGTCAAAACGATACATATTGGGTAGGTTTACAGTAGTGTCAAAACGTTAGACATTGCGCCAGCTTACAGTAAAGTGAAAACGGTAGACATTGTGCCATCTTACGGTAGAATCAAAACGTTAGACATTGATCCGGCTTACAGAATAGTCAAAACAGTACACATTGGGCCGGCTTATAATAGAGTCAAAACGTTAGACACTGAGTCGTCTTACAGAAGAGTCAAAACGTTACATATTGTGCCGGTTGACAGTAGAGTGAAAACATTAGTCATTGAGCCGGCGTAAAGTAGAGTCAAATCGTTAGACATTGAGCCGGTTTACAGTAAAGTCAAAACGTTAGACATTGGGCCGGCTTACAGTAGAGTCCAAACGTTAGACATTGAGTCGTCTTAAAGAATAGTCAAATCAGTACACATTGGGCCGGCTTATAGTAGAGTCAAAACGGTAGACGTTGAGTCGGCTTACAGAAGAGTCAAAACGGTAGATATAGGTTCGGTGTACACTTGAGTTAATAAGTATGAAAAATGATCCGGTTCACACTTGAATCAAATCGGTACACATGTCCGGTTTACAAGCGAGTTTACAAATATCCACCCAAGAGATGCGATAATCTAGTGCCGTTGACTTTGGCAATATATGGCCTTCCATTAACATGTTAGAGCAATGATTAAATTTTCCAACATTCTGCTTGGGCCGCTTATACTCAACTATAATTACCGTATTAGTTTATTTTTCTTCGAAATAAGTCTGAAAAGTTTACATTCTGTCCTACTTCATTTTATGATTCAGATATTTGCATCTTTCCAAAATTTTTGAAAAATTTAAAAATTAGGTTAGATATGTTTTAATTTACGCTATTATACATCGTTGTTTAATGATGTATCTTCTCTGCGTCAGTCTATAAGGAACAATCTCTTCACTAACGAAAGCTGAAAATATGGCAATCTTTTATCCTTGTGCCC